ATGACAGATAAAAATCAAACTGTTATGAAACAATTTCCTTTCATAACCACTAAGTATCTACAACAAGTGATACTGAAAGCCTAATAGGTAAATCAGTAGTTTCATGAATTACACCAAAGTGATGTATTCACGTTCTGAAACTGCAAGACTTCAACGCACTATGACTGTCAGCTGTAAGCGGGGCATGTACTTGAAAATCCAGTCTGAAAAAGGTTCAAACAAAGCACACTAACAACTATTACCCAATGATCCCCAAGTAACAGACTCACTAACTACCGAATATGGATTACAAACGAGAATGAGAAATGGCACTGACCCAGCTTTCCCGCAGGAGTGGCACCACCACACGCAGCCGCAGTCGCAGGGGCGGCCTGGATAATATCCTTGAGCTTGTCCTCTGTGCTGTGGGTGTGCCTGGCAGGAGCCGAGAGGATTCTTGGACTTGTGGTCAAGGCAGGAGACCGCAGAGGAGGCAGTCTGACCAGTGTCCCTCGCAGCGCCATGTCTGACTAACTCTCAGCCGGTGCCACCTTCTTCCTCGAGCTCCCGGGAGTGAATGCCGTGCTGGCTGCTCCTGGTGCGAGGAAGGATCCCCCGCCGCCATCCTGTGACGTCTGGCACGTACACGTCTGGGCCGCAGGAATTACAGCTCAGAGCCCCTTGGTGCGGCTCTCGCCTTGGCTGGCGGCTGCCACGCCCCCTCCGCGGTGCGGGCGGGCTGCCGCGCAGGAAACGTTAACGCTGCTTGGGGAAGAAGCCGCTCTCTTTACTAATACTGAGGCGTAGTGAGGTGTATATGCAAGTGGAAACAGACTTACGATGAAATATATTAAAGATAAAAGTTCGAAGACGAAGTAAAGACGAGCGAGTCATGAGAGGACAAAAACAAAAACAAAGCCACGTGGGTTTGTTTACAAATTTACACGTGGCAATGCAGGCGGCGGAAGGGGCTGGGCGGGTCGGCACGGAAGCTCACGTATGCGCGGTGGTTCATGCGAATGTCTTTGCGTTCCTTCGTCCAGGCAAGCACAGGCAGTCAGCTCAGATTCAGAAATGTTTATTCACGCATGTGCCTGTGTTTATCTCTCTGTGCATCTATCTGTCTAGCGAACAATTAATGATAGACAGTTGGACGGGCAAACAAATAGATATGCCTGCAGCTGAGCAGCTGCATACCGCTGAGAACTTTCAAGCAAACACACGGACGCACGCACAAACCTTTTCCCTTGCACATCACGACATGTACACGTGAACAGTTGCTCTCTCTCTCTCTCTCTCTCTCTCTCTCTCTCTCTCTCTCTCTCTCTCTCTCTCTCTCTCTCTCTCTCTCTCTCTCTCTCTCTCTCTCTCTCTCTCTCTCTCTCTCTCTCTCTCTCTCTCTCTCTCTCTGTCTCTCTCTCTCTCTCTCTCTCTCTCACATAAACACTCACCTTTTTTTTAATAACTTTTTTTAGGTAAAATTCAGTCTGAATTTATAACGAGAAATTATATAAGTATACTCCGAAATCCTCTAACTTCATGATTCCTATCGAATAGCTTAGCTTTAATTTTTTTTTCTTACCCAAAAATTTGGATTTTGTGAATCTTCTGCATTTTTTTTTTTTTTTTTTTTGAGGAGTCGCAAGTTAAATTATTAGAAATATGCATGTATTTTTTTTCTCTCTCTCACCTCCGATCGCGTGTTCTTTCCTGGCTTAGAGATTACTGAACTCTGAACTGACACAGATGCGCATATTTGTTCGATTTTCTCTCCTTTCCCCTATTTGTTTTCCCTTCTTTCGCTGTGGCTTCACTTTGGAAAAATATTTACTCCTTCGTGGAATCAATTTCTTGGAAGAAAATGGACTCCCTCGGCGCTGCCACTTCCATAAACTTGTCTTATCATACATGTTTATCTCCCGAAACTAGAATTTGTTTTTGTTTATATATATATATATTTTTCAAGGGAAATGTTTATGGAAGCTTCATGATATGATAAGTGTTTGCGTGCAAGGTCTCTCGTTCTTTTACTCTTATTCTCTGTCTCACTCTTTTTGTGTCTGTGCCTGTGTCTATGTATGTCTGTCTTGTCTGTCTGTATGTCTGCCTTCCTCCCTCCCACTCTCTATCTCTCTCTCCCTATGTCTCTCTCTCTCTCTCTCTCTTCTCTCTCTCTCTCTCACACACACACACACACAGAAGACCATTTATGACACAGAATTCGTATTGATACCTTGCATGACAAAGAAAGTAAATGCACTTTGGTATCTTTATTATTCTATCGTGCATGATGTTAGAACTCTGCCAAGAGTGAAAAAATGATTAAGATTAATTACAGTAATTTGTCAGCTGACTTTGCAGGAGCAAATTGTTCTGCATTTTCTTGATCAAATACAGGTATGAACCTGATTTGGAAAAAAAATAATGAAAAATGAATGTAAGAGTAATTTACATTGTTGCATTCGTTTGTTGTATATCATGTAGTTGTGAAGTCATATCTAAAGCTTCGTCTTCATAAACGGTAAAGTTAATAGTAAGTAGAATGCATCATAAAAACAGGTGCTGTACTTGCTATGAAAAATGGGTACAGAAAAAAATCTTTGAAAAATATTGTTTTATTATCATTATACCAAAATACACGATGTTATTTATTATTGTCTTAAGGGTCGCCGGAAGAAAGTACATGTTTTAAAATGGAAATTCACAATACTCTATACACCTATAAACATATTGTAAAGTTTTCTTCTCTTTAAATCGACGTTTTCTTGTTAAACAGATTTCCACACAGTCCTACGTAATATTGTCCTGGCGTCATCGGAAGTGACTCCATATAATAAAGAAGCACAATATCTTAATTTTAATCATTACCATTAGTCCTCCCTTGCCGACAAAATATGTTTCACTTCCTTACACTTCCTAAGATAGTCTCTCTGAAAAGACAGACTAATGTGAAAAAATACATTCTGCTGATCCCCATCCAACTCGGACAAAGAAATGTCAGCAAAAAAATGATATGTTGAGAGCAAGTTATCTTTCTCGGTCTCTTGTTCTCTTCTAGCACACCACAGTATGCCAAGCTTAAATTCATACAGATGTAATTATTTTCTTTTTTTACCTTTTTTTATGAGGTTTGAATTATTTTTTTTTTAAACGCTCATAATTTTAAAGATTATAAAAATATCTCCTTATTCTAAACACTAGAAGACTTGAAACAGTACATGGTAGAATTTGACTTTCTCGAAGGCAACGGAGGTGGTTGATGGCGATAGTAAATCCAGTTGGTATTCGGTTGCACAAAACCAAGTATCAACCACAACACACACCATTTTAGTCTCGCGTTGTGATAATAAACAGAGGACTGCACACTTCCTCTGTAAAATTAAGCTGCTTGCAATAAAGCTTACACTAAAACCCCGATCATGGTCTTCGGTGTGAGAACTAGCATCTAGACTTGGTCTCTGAGGTGAGGGAGAATGCAGTGACTGGGCCTCTTGACAGGAAGTCGTGAGTGTATTAAGCCTACGTGAAATCGCATTCTGAACACACACACGCTTCTCCGAATTGTGCTGGTCCATCGTAAGGCATCGTCTCTGTGTTCCTCAATGACCAGTTCACCACAACGTACCTTGTTAGGGGCAGTTGGTAAGGAATGTCACTGTTGTAATGAGGTTACTAGGGTTTACTTGACTGTGGATACTCTTCTTCAGACTTTCCTGTGAATAATATCCTGTCAATTGATGGGAGGAATGAAGGTGAATAAATCAAGACCAAGATGGTTTTTCCTCTAACAAAGCCCATTAAACTGTAGACAAACCTAGTTTTGTCATTGGTTGGGTCATATGATCACGCCTGCAAAGCACTGTTTCATATGCTATGTATATAAAAAATCTCCAACGGTTATTTAGGAAATACGACACTTTTCCCACTACTGGAAAGGTTATTCTGCAGAGCATTCTCTTCTCTAACTGCCTTTCCTCAACTCCACAAAACAACCAGAAACACAAACCCAGATCCACCACTCTTCATCTCCTTCTTTCAACATAACTTCCAAAACTGAAAATATAGGGAAATGAGTCTCCCAATCTCCCAACTTGACGAAACAAACCAAAAATCAAATCAGCATCGCCTAGCGTGCACAGATTCCCTCTCTACAGCTGTGGCATCTCATTCAAACGCCCCTGTCTCTCTCTGGCCAGCCTCGCCTCCTCGTTGACTCTCCTGTGCCACTCCACGTTCATGTTCAGGAGACTCTGGCCTTCCCGGTGAGCCTTCTTGCCCGACCAGATCATGTAGACGCAGCCGAGCAGGGTGGCGACGCCCATCCAGATGTTGATCTTGATTCTTGCCTTGTTGCGTGCACGTTCCAAGGAATCTTGGCTGTGGGTGACGAAAAGGAGGTTTTTTGTAATGTGTTAAGTATTGTTCTTCTAACTATTCGTTAAAAAAATACGGTTTTCTTATCATTTGCTAAAGAAGGGAAGTAATATAGCCCATTGGAAATCTCTCCTGCATCGCAAACACATATGTACTCATATAAACCTAACGCATTTTTTAAAAAGTTCAATTCCTAAAGAAGCTCCAAGGAAAACTCACCTCACCAAGTCGGGAACGTCTTCAACATTCTTGTACTTTCCGCCCCAAACCAATAAGTATTTTTCCAGTCTGTTAACATGATGATCTCTCAGTCCTAGAATAAAACGATACAAGAGTCAGGTTACTTTCAAAGCTTTCTTTTCCAAACGCTTTGTAAAATATTCGAAAATACACTTGTATTGAGAAGGTCAGATCATATATTGAAAATAACAGAGGAAGTAAAGTAGTTAATGAATGATTATTTACAACAAACACACAGCTTAAAATATGCAAAATAGGTCAACGACAGTAATATTATTCAATGTATTTTATCAACGTGACAAAGCATAATGGTTTCCTAAATCAATTAAAGTTTGACAAGAAGTGAAACAGGAGGCTAAATGAATGCTATTAATCAAGAACCTTTGCTCGGACATTGTATGTTGAATTATCAATATATTTGCTTAAAATTATATTGATGTGCCTGATACTTAATTTTTCAAATTCAAACTTCTATTGAGATTTGTATCTTTCTACTTGGGATCGCGTGTGCGTGCACGGGTGTTTGTGCGAGTGCGGGGTTTGTCTTTATAAGTTCTTTCACACATTAAGTAAGTACAATGGTACGATTTAAATAAGTAACGTCAGTTTTAACAGAAACATATAATGAACTGGAAAAAATATACGCAAAAGTTCAAACAAACTGCATTAACACAAGAACACAAAAACCTTAAAATGAAGTGATCTCTAACGACATGACTAGTGCTACAATAAAGAGAACGGCACCTACCCAGTCTTCCCACAGGGATGGCACTACCACACGCAGCCGCAGCGACGGGGGCAGCCTGGATAATCATATCCTTGCGCCTGTCCTCCGTGCTGTGGGTCTGCCTGGCAGGAACGGCAAGCATTCTCGGACTTGTGCTCAAAGTCCTCAGGGCAGGCAGTCTCGCCAGTGTTCCTCGCAACGCCATCTTTATCTCTTCAGCTTAGGACACCTTCCTCCTCGAGCTCTCGAGAGTGAATACCTTGCTGGTGTCCTCCTCGCGTGAAGAAAGGTCCCCTCGGCCGCCGTCCTCTGACATCTGGCACGTACACAGCTTGGGTTCAGGGGATAACTACGCGTGTTTTGGTTTCGTAAGCCCCGCCCCCTCGGTGGTTTGTGTATGCGTGTACGTGCGTGCGTGCGTGCGAGGCGCTCTTCGTAGAAAAACGTTTACTCTACCTTGGGAGGCTTCGGTTCGAAGTTTGACGCCTCGCATCTCATTTTTTTTCTCTCTTCCTCTTCTTTTGCTGTATTTGCAGGGGCCTATTTTGCAATGCCTTTAGGACAAACGTAGAGAAATGTTGAGAAATAAATGTCTGAGATCAGGTAAAAACGAGTAAAGCGCTTCGGCGAAGCAAGGGACGGGGCAGCGTATGTGACGACGAAAACAATAACAAAGCCACGTGCGTCTGTTTATATGGGTCGATGCAAGGCTGACTGATTCAACAGAGTAATTGGCGCATTTGCATGTGACTTTGCACACACTCACTTGAACTCCATACATATGTATATGTACACACGTGTATGAGATCTTTAAGGACTAAAGCACAACCTGCATAAATATATGGTACTCGTGTTATATATATATATATATATATATATATATATATATATATATATATATATATATATATACATATATATATATATATATATATATATATATATATATATATATGTATATATATATATATGTATATATATATATATATATATATATATATATATATATATATATATATATATGAATATATATATATATATATATATATATATATATATATATATATATATATATATATATATATATATATATATATATATATATATATATGAATATATATATATATATATATATATATATATATATATATATATATATATATATATATATGAATATATATATATATATATATGAATATATATATATATATATATATATATATATATATATATATATATATATATATATATATATGAATATATACATATATATATATATATATATATATATATATATATATATATATATATATATATATATATATATATACATCCTTATATATACATATATAAATAATCACACACACACACACACACACACACACACACACACACACACACACACACACACACACACACACACACACACACACACACACACACACACACACACACACACACAGATATGTGTGTGTGTGTGTATGCATACATACACACATTTGCAGTACGTATGTGTGGGGATCTGTGTACGTAACGTCTCGCTCTCCGGTTTTGGGTTGGTGAGCTCTAGCACGTAGACGGGCGCGCAGTCTGTCATTCCCCGGGCGTGTTCATGGAAATAACACGAGGCTGAAGTCACAGCGGATTCTGGGCTGCGCAGCTGTGGCTCTCAGTCGCTCGCCACAGACAGGTGTTTCTCTCTGTCTTCAGTTATTATCTACCATTCCGTTGGCCAATACAGAGAGGGTGTAAACAGGTCTAAAGGATAGAGAGAGAGAGAAACAAAGCAGAATTCAGGGATACAGGGTGTATACATACCTAGAGAACAGTAAAAGCAGTAATTAAGAAACACAGTAAAAATACAGAAGGAATATATATATACGTCTAAAGAACAGAGACAATAATCTAGAAAAGAAACAGAAGAATGGTGGCACACACAACCGCATTCGTACATAACATCCAAACGGTGCGAAAGTGTTTGTGTGAAGCGCCATGAACAGATGCTCGCACGTATGCACGCACGCAACTAGCAACACGACACGGCTGTCTCAAGTAACATCCCCCCCCCATCTAACCCCCCCACCCTCACCCCCTCCTCAAAACCTGTTCCCCAAGAGTAGAAGTTGTGGGTCGTATCAGACAGGTCATGCACAGACTATGAAGCTAGACCAGGTCACAGCATGCATTCGTCCGGTCGCTGAACTCTGCATGGTAAGTTTGCGGCGAGGTCAACGTGTCATGCAGTCTGTGCCATGAATGAAAGCGTTGTTCATGACGGGGGGGGGGGGGGGGGGGGAATAATGAGATTCACCTGAGATTATGCATTTTTTTCGAGCTTCTTTGCGGTGGGGGGAGCACGAAACGAAAACGGGAGGGGGAGGGGGGAGGGGGAAGGGGGATTGTTGGTGGGGGGGAGGAATTTTGCAATATTTTTTCCTCTGGGAATTAGTGTCATATTTCTCCTATGACACTTCTGGCCTTGAAGTTTATTTACATTTTTTTTCTCTCTTATTGTGATTCTCCAGGTAACAGGATTCACGTTGGTGTTTGTGGTAGAAAATATATGCAGTGAAATATCTGATTAAAGTACGATTGCCAACACTAAGTCAATAAATTAATTCCTTTCTCTCCTTTTCTATTCCTCTTCCACCTTCTCCCCCTCTACCCCCCCCCTTCTCTTTCTCTCCTTTCTTTTCATCCTCTTCTACCTCCTCCTTCTCCTCCTCTTCCTCCACTCCTTCCTCCTCCACCCCTTCCTCCTTCTCCTTTACCCTTCTCCATTCTCCACCTCCTCCTCCACTCGCTCCCCTTCCTCCACCCCTTCCCCATCTTCCACTTCCTCCTCCTCCACTCCCTCCCCTTCCTCCACCCCTTCCCCATATTCCTCTTCCACTTCTTCCTGCTCCTCCACCCTTCTCCATTCTCCACCTCCTCCTCCACTCCCTCCCCTTCCTCCAATCTTTCCCCATCATCCCCTTCCTCCCCTTCCTCCACCCCTTCCCCATCCTCCTCCTCCACTCCCTCCCCTTCCTCCTCCCCTTCCTCCTCTTCCCCTTCCTCCAACCTGCAAGGCTTCGCGGCCGCGTTGAACAGCGATCCTCTCACGTACACACCTTTGAACCGGAGGACATCGTGGCACGGCTTGGAAGGTAAAATGCCTCCTCTATCTGTCTGTCTTTCTCTTTCTCTTTCTTTCTCTTTCTCATTTTCTGTCCCTCTGGCTCTCTCACCCACCCCCCTTTCTCTCTTTCTTTCTCTCTCTCTATCTATCTATGTGTCTATTTACTTATCTACCTATGTCTCTCCCTACTCTCTCTCTCTCTCTCTCTCTCCCTCTCTCTCTCTCTCTCTCTCTCTCTCTCTCTCTCTCTCTCTCTCTCTCTCTCTCTCTCTCTCTCTCTCTCTCTCTCTCTCTCTCTCTCTCTCTCTCTCTCTCTCTCTCTCTCCATTTTTTTCCTTTCTTTTATCATCAAATTTCCTCGAAGGAATCACACAAACATCGCCAAGTTTTTTTTCTTTCTTTTTTCTCTCCATTTTCTTCTCTTTCTTCCCCCTTCTTCTTATAGGTTTTCGTTCATTTTTAGATCAACATTTCCTGCTTCCATGCACTAAAAATACGTATAGTTTTTAGTTCTTTTTATTTCTCGTCCCCCCTCTTGTCTTCTACTTTTTCACCTTTTGCCTTTCATTTCTATTTTTCTCGACTGTTTTCTCATTTTTTCTCTTTTCTTCTCTATTTCCTTCTTTCTTTTCCTTCGCTTTCCTGTATTTCCACCGAGGTAGAGTTTCCCAGTGACGTAAGAAAGGCTCAAGTTCCCATCTCTATGTTGCGGTGCAGGTGGTTTTCTCTCTCTCTCTCTCTATCTATCTATCTATCTATCTATCTATCTATCTATCTATTCGTCTAACTCTCTCTATCTCTCTCTCTTTATCTATTTCTTTCTCTCTCTCTTTCCTTGTATCTGTCTCTGTCTTTGTCTCTGTCTCTTTATCTCTCTCACTCTCTTTCTTCCTCCCTCTCTCCCTTCCTCCCTCCTGCCCTCTTTCCCTTCCTCCCTCTCTCCCTCCCTCCCTCCTTCCATCCCTCACTCATTCACTTACTCCCTTCCTCCTTCCCTTCCTCCCTCTCGCCATCCATTAATCCATCCCTCTCTTTCTCACTTTTATTCTCCCCGATGCAACAGAAGCGATAAAGAGGAAGAGGAGTAATGGAAAACTGAGCGAGCGTTGACCCCGAGGTCACTTTCCTCGCCTCTTCCTGCCTGTGAACTTTCAAAGAGATCATGTCATACATACAGGGAATCGCACAGGTAGATTTATCATGGGAGAGATATGCCGGTAGAGGGGGGGCGGGTTAGATGGTGAGATTTGGACAGGTAGATTAGCAGACACACTCATGCACACACACATACAAACACGCACACACAGAGGGAGAGAGAGAAAGAGAAAGAGAGGGAGAGAGAGAGAGAGAGAGAGAGAGAGAGAGAGAGAGAGAGAGAGAGAGAGAGAGAGAGAGAGAGAGAGAGAGAGAGAGAGAGAGAGGCAGACAGACAGAAAGAGAGAGAGACAGAGACAGAGAGACAGTGACAGAGAGAGAGACAGAGAGACAGCGACAGAGAGAGATGCAGAGAGAGAGAGGCAGACAGACAGAAAGAGAGAGAGAGGCAGAGACAGAGAGAGAGACAGGTAGACAAACAGATGGAACGTATGAGTAAGCGGAGTACAGATAAAAAAGACGGATGGATAGATAACAAAGCAAATGGTCAGAAAAAGATAAAAGGATATTTAAAAACCAAGAGATAAACAGACAATTACATAGATATAATGGCAGGTAGATAGTTAATAAAAGAGGAAAACAAGTAGACAGCCGAAAGGATAGACCAAAGGATATATAGGTAGATAGACAGTGGAAACAGACAGACAGATAGATAATATATTTCCAGTAACGGATTCTGGACAGCTACATCCGATTAAAAAATTCGTCACTTGAAGAGAGAGCAGAAGCAGACAAGGCCACCGTTTTGTATAGTTCAGCTATTTTGCTCTTATTCTGTTTACTATATTATCATACTTATTTTATATTATTAGATATTCCTCTTCAGCCTCCTTCCTATATCGTTAATAATGCAGACGGATCTATTTTATATTTTTGAGTCGTAAATCAGATTTGGTTTTATATTTTGGCGTTACAGGGAATACGCAATTGCTTGGTTTTGGAAGCGGAAAAGCGTATTAAAAGAAGAAAGGAGGTCAGAGGGACGTGGGGTTGAGGGTCTGCGTTCGTGTGTGTGCGTGTGCGTGTGCGTGTGTGTGTATCCAACTGCGTG